GGCGTGGCTACGCCCATTTTCCAAAAATTTATAATATTCTTATTTTTCGTCTGAAAATTATTGTAAATATCAGCTTTGAGTGAATTATATTCAGTAGATACTAAAATATCGCAGTTTTCGTATTTCTGGAAATTACCGTTATATGGGAAGTGGGCGTGGTTACAGTCCGATTTCGCCTATTTTCAATACCAACCTACGTTGGATAAATGGAAACCTACATACCAAATTTCGTTGAGATATCTAAATTTTTGCTCGAGTTATCGTGTACACGGACGGACGGACAGACGGACGGACAGACAGACATGGCTTAATCGACTTCTCTATTCATTCTGAGCATTTATGTATACATTTATCTATATCTATCTTCATTCGTTTTGGCTGTTACAAACAACCGTTATGTGAACAAAATTAATATACCCTTGTGCACAAGTGCGCTCGGGTATAAAAATCGAATAATACAATTTTTTTCATAAAAAACTTATTGTTGCTGATCTGTCCAAAATGGAAACAGTTGAGAAAAGAAAAAATATCCAGCAATCTAGTTTTAAAGTTTTTTCTCATAAAAAACTTATTGTCCCAGAACTGTCGAAAATGGAACCAGTTCAGAACTAGTTCGAAAGTTCTGCAGAGGTGGCGATTTCCACTTCGTAGGACATCGCCATGTAAAAAGAGACAATTGAAAGCATTGCGTTGGGATAGATCGAGAACCAGTACCGCCTTTTAAAGAGCTAGTTCTGCGCTAGTTGCGAACTAGCGCGATTTACTGCAGGTATAAATAGATTCCCTGAGGAAGACGCGAATATGCGCCAAAACAAGTAGGAGGAAAATAAACGTTTATTCTATTTGTAATAAAAGACCGAAAAGCTCCATACACAGCATTAAACTTTCAGCTTAGTCGAGGAGAAATAATTATAACATACATTTATGTTTGGTTTTTGTACGGCTGCTGGTACCACTCTATATGAATTCGCTACTATTCTACGCGAGAATCTGAAATGTGCTACTCTACCACGCAAAAATCTGAAATGTGCAAGTCTTCCACGCGAATAGTGAAATGTGCTAGTCTTTCACTCGAGAATCTGAAATGTGCTACTTTTCGACGCGAATAATAAAATATGCTAGTCTTCGACGCGGATAGTGAATCGTGCTAATCTTCCACGGTAATTTGAGACAGTCTGAGATGTGCTACTCTTCGTTGGGAGCGACGACATATAAACTTTGTTCGCAAAACGGTTGCTTTAACAGCCCATAGAAATCGAGATAGTTATAGATATAAATATATGTATATACCAAAATGCTCAGAATAAAAAGATGAATTAATTAAGGAATATCTGTCTGTCCGTACGCCCGTCCCTAGAAGTTTTGTACATAGGTTGCGCTCTGTCCATGGCGAAATCGAACAAAAACCACGCCCACCTCCCATATAACGGTATTCTCGAAAAATGCATAAGCTACGATATTGCCGCAAATACTATTGTCAAAAGTTGGAATGTGACAAAGAGTTTTGGCATTAAATAAGACAGCTATGAACTATTTGGAAAATGTGCGTAGCACTATCTATTTGTGACGAAATGTTGTACCAATCCACAGCAAACCCGGGGCGAACATCTCTTAGAGTCGCGCTAAGAAACTCGTTTACAAATCGGACCAGTGGCGGATTTAAGGGAAAAAGCCCGGTCAGCATGGTACCCAGGAGGCCCACTTTCGTAGTGAAAAAAATTTACTGTAGTAATCAAAAGTAATTTTAATCATAGATAAAAACATAAAAAATCATAATTTGTATGATTTAAATTTTTTAGGTTTCCCAGATAATTAATATTAATAGAATGATAAACATTGAATTGAATTATGTCACTTTGAATACACGCCTAGCTTTACGTTCAGCAAATAATTCCATTGCAGAGTCCAAATTGATCGACGTCGCTACTGATCTTTCGATGTACAGAATACAAAAATTGTTCAGTGTATCCTCAGCTAAAGAAGCTCGGCGATATTCTTTGACAATTTTCAACGAACTCATGACTCGTTCGGCACTAGCTGATCCGATAGGAAAGGTTAAGAACAGTCGAAATAAACTGCAGCATTCAGGAAAACTGTCCATCATATTATTTGCAACTACAAACTCCAAATACTGTAATGGACTGTCGTCAGTAAAATCCCGATTTTCTCTGAAATACATGTCAGTAAAAGCAACCAGCTCATTTTTCAAATCAGTAGTGAAAAACTCTGAGTACATCTTTGATAAAGTAATAACACAGTTTTTCAAATCATCCTGATCGAGATTTTTGAAAGTTTCAGGCATCAAAAAACCGAAAACGTCGTTTATTTCTTTGAATCCTTCCGCTCTTTCTTGTAGTTCGGTAGTCATTGTGTCCAAAACTTCATAGTACTCCATTCGATGTTTTGCATGAGATTCTAATGCTGAATCGGAAGTCTTCTCATCGAACATTTTCTTGACTTTACGTTTTCTGATAATGGGAAAATCAGCATTTTCCCAGCCCATTTCTAGCCATTTTTGCCTAGCTTTCAGCACGAAATTTTCATACGTACGTTCATCTCTCAGATCTCTCAATTTTTTTAAGGCCGTTGCCATGCACCGCTGCGCCTTAATTAGATCGACTTCTTTTTTCTGTAATTGAATTTGGACAGAATTGATTGCGCTAAGAACTGATGCCACCATAACAAGTTTAGTAAAAACACCCAGTTCATCGAGGACAATAATGATTGAGCTTTGATGATATCTTCCCCAGATGCTCCGACTCTTGAAATTTCATTCTCCAGGAAGTTAACGATACATTCAAAGTTTTGTATTATCGCCTCCACAGCTTTTATTCGAGATGCCCAACGTGCTGTACTCAATCCTTTAATGTGTAGTATCCTTTCACTAGTGACAGATTCCTCACCAATTCGATCATAAGATGCGTCCTCTCCAGATTTATTAGTTAAACCAAATATTTCTTTTTTAATTCTTTTAGAAGCTTGATGCCAAAATCGTCAGAGGTTCGTGATGAACTTTCGCTCTGTTTCAAAATTTCTTCCCATCGTCGATGTGAGTGAGCGAAATATACAAAAATGCTTTCAATTGTGGCGAAAAAAACTTTGATTGAGGAACTTGCATTTTTTTCTGCTGCATGAATCAAAACTAAGTTCATTTGATGACTGAGACAATGAATATACGGTACAAATGATCCATCGCCGTCGTCGAGAAATTCTTTTAATTTCACTTGAACACCTCCGCTACCCCCAGACATGACAGGGGCACCGTCATAGCTTTGACCACACAGATATTTTTTCTCAAAATTAAATTTTTCAAACAAGATTGCTGTGATTTCATTGCAAATGGAGGTTGCATCTCCTTTTTTCAATCGAACAAAGCACAGAAAACTCTCTTTGATTACAACTTTAGGAGAGTTTGGAATATCTATGTTAATCACAACATATCTTACCAAAACAGCCATTTGATCTAGGTGAGCGACATCTGTTGTTGAGTCGGCTATTAATGCAAAAAATTTCGCACTTTTACATTCGTTGACGATTGCTTGACAGGTTTCTGTTGCTAATATATCGAGCAATTCAAAAGTAATCGTTTTACTCAAATATTTTACGCGCTCGGAAGATTCAATATGAGCTTGCAATATTGGCTTATGTCTAGAAATTAACTTGATAACACTTAAGTAAATTCCAGGATTCTCATCTTCCAATAAGTTCTCTCTATGACCTCGTAAGGCAAGTCCTAAACCAGATAAGGTTCTGACAGTATCCGAAAAAATGTTAAGAAGCGTGCGCCATTTCTTTGCTTCTTCGGTAATTTGGTTATCAAGTTTGTGCCGAATATCTAACTTTTTACGAAAAGACGAAGCAGCTATTGCGCTCGAAAGATGTGCTTTGCTTCGACCGTGGGCTTTGGCAGATTTTGACAAATGTTTCCAATCTGTATATCCGGTGCACCATACACTTCGTTTAGTAGATTCATCTCCAAATAACCAACAACAATAGCAGAAAGCGTATTTTTTGTCACAGAATATGATAACCATTTACTTCGATCATTGTTCATAAAAGCGTTTTCATTGTTCATATAATAAAATGAGGAGTTAAATCGGCGATTATCACTAGATTTTGGGAATTCATTGTCGGGCAAGTCAGACTTGTCTGGTTGGCACGGACCAGCTAATGATAGTGCTTGAATAATCTCTTTATCTAATAAATTGTTGTTATCATAAAGCCCTTTGTCATTTTTGAATGGTAGTAAAATGTTTGGCAGCTCTTTTTGTTTCTCAATTTTACTAGCTGCTGATGTTTTCTCCGTTCCAACAATTAAAGATGTGGAATTTTCACATTTATCATCATGCGATTGGTTATTTATATTGCATGAAGTATCTGATCCTGTTATGAAAGAATCACAATTCACTGCTACATGAAACTCACGGTATTTGTTACCTTTAGCTTACAACTGCGTAGTCGAAAACCCGAAACGTTTAGATATCCCTTACTAATATTATAAATGTGAAAGTTTGTATGTTTGGCTGTTTGGGAAATCATCACGCGGAAACGACTGAACGGATTTGCATGAAATTTGGTACGCAGATAGCTTATGGGCCAGATTGGTTAATAGGCTATTTTTTTAAG